CGGAGACACGGAGTGCAGATTGATTAATGACCGGCTGTGTGTGATTGATGTCGGAGATTTAAATAAGATTGTTAAAGAGATTCTTCAGATGACTTTATACTGGTGTTATCCATATTGTCAATCTTGAATTAGCCAAACTTGTTGTTGCATGTCAGTGTGTTTTTATTGTACATGTATTGCACTTATTTCACCATTGTCTATGTTGTATAACTGCAAAGCATGTTTTTATTTATGTGAACACTAACAACAATATGTATTGAATTTCGATTTGACGGTTAAATCTTCTTTACAGTTATAACAAAACTTAATTCTGAATATTGTACATTTACAACTTTAACAACTACCATCTGTTCAGGCATGCTATCCCCTGTAGGGGATTAATTTGTATTGGGATTAAATTCAAGCCTCTCCCCTGTAGAAAGTCAAGCCTCTCCCCTGTAGAAAGTCAAGCCTCTCCCCTGTAGAAATGGATTAATTAGTATTGGGATTAAAGTCAAGCCCCTCCCCTGTATAAGGTGATTAATTAGTATTGGGATTAAAGTCAAGCCCCTCCCCTGTATAAGGGGATTAATTAGTATTAGGATTAAAGTCAAGCCCCTCCCCTGTAGAAGGGGATTAATTAGTATTGGGATTAAAGTCAAGCCCTTCCCCTGTAGAAGGGGATTAATTAGTATTGGAATTAAAGTCAAGCCCCTCCCCTGTAGAAAGTCAAGCCCCTCCCCTGTAGAAGGGGATTAATTAGTATTGGGATTAAAGTCAAGCCCCTCCCCTGTAGAAGGGGATTAATTAGTATTGGGATTAAAGTCAAGCCCCTCCCTTGTAGAAGGGGATTAACTAGTATTGGGATTAAAGTCAAGTCCCTCCCCTGTAGAAGGGGATTAATTAGTATTGGGATTAAAGTCAAGTCCCTCCCCTGTAGAAGGGGATTAATTAGTATTGGGATTAAAGTCAAGCCCCTCCCTTGTAGAAGGGGATTAACTAGTATTGGGATTAAAGTCAAGTCCCTCCCCTGTAGAAGGGGATTAATTAGTATTGGGATTAAAGTCAAGCCTCTCCCCTGTAGGGGATTAATTAGTATTGGGATTAAAGTCAAGCCCTTCCCCTGTAGAAGTGGATTAATTAGTATTGGGATTAAAGTCAAGCCCCTCCCCTGTAGAAGGGGATTAATTAGTATTGGGATTAAAGTCAAGCCTCTCTGAAGAAAAGGGGATTAATTTACTGTTTTTACTGTGGATTGAGACAAGCCCTCTGCAGGCCCCTGTCCTTATAAGAGGGGATTCATTTGTATTGTGGATTTGATAAAGTTCCTTGTTTTACGGGACATATCTAACCAACCGCTCACCCCACCCACCTCCATCCCGAAACTGTAGGGGGATGTCATTTATGTCGTGGAATTGAGTCCTTCACCGTTTGGGAGAGGATTAATATAAAATAGGTTGGGTCTACGTGAGCCATTATGTCCTGTATGTGCTGCCGTACACATTGTAGACATTGAGTCAGTTGGTTGTAGTACTGTCGGGAGGGTGTAAGGACATACCAGTGTTTTCCTCCTCACTAGAGACATGTGTTTTGGTGTACACAAAGTGTAGGCTGGCGCTATAAGAATCACATGCCTTGAATTCCTGGCTAAGTGGCGAACTAATCCCTACTGATGAGAATGCGTACGGATTATTATTGCCCTCACAGCTGACGCATGGGAGTACAGGAGCCTGGCTAGCACCACAAGGTCGCTTACTTTCACTTTCGTTCACGACATATCACTGTTTTAGACAGATACTCAACAGAGCGCCGAGAATTACGATGAATTATTAAGTAAAGAATGTACACTATAAAGACGGAAGCCAAAACTAAAGCCATTCCTTAGTGATGGGATGATATGTATACAGGGAGTGAAAGGGTGATATGTATACAGGGAGTGGTAGGGTGATGTGTATACAGGGAGTGGTAGGGTGATGTATATACAGGGGATGATGGGGTGATATGTATACAGGTAGTGGTAGGGTGATGTGTATACAGGGGATGATGGGGTGATATGTATACAGGTAGTGGTAGGGTGATGTGTATACAGGGGATGATGGGGTAATATGTATACAGGTAGTATTAGGGTGATGTGTATACAGGGGATGATGGGGTGATATGTATACAGGTAGTGGTAGGGTGATGTGTATACAGGGGATGATGGGGTGATATGTATACAGGGAGTGAAGGGGTGATGTGTATACAGGGAGTGATGGGGTGATATGTATACAGGGGGTAATTGGCTGATATGTATACAGGGAGTGGTAGGGATTATATGTATACAGGGGATGATGGTGTGATATGTATACAGGGAGTGAAGGGGTGATGTGTATACAGGGAGTGGTAGGGATTATATGTATACAGGGGATGATGGGATGATATGTATACAGGGGGTAATTGGGTGATATGTATACCGGGAGTGGTAGGGATTATATGTATACAGGGAGTGATGGGATGATATGTATACAGGGAGTGGTAGGGATTATATGTATACAGGGGATGATTGGGTGATATGTATACAGGGAGTGAAGGGGTGATATGTATACCGGGAGTGATTGGGTGATATGTATACAGGGGATGATTGGGTGATATGTATACAGGGGATGATGGTGTGATATGTATACAGGGAGTGAAGGGGTGATATGTATACAGGGAGTGATTGGGTGATATGTATACAGGGAGTGATTGGGTGATATGTATACCGGGAGTGATTGGGTGATATGTATACCGGGAGTGGTAGGGATTATATGTATACAGGGGGTGATGGTGTGATATGTATACAGGGAGTGAAGGGGTGATATGTATACAGGGGATGATGGGATGATATGTATACAGGGGGTAATTGGGTGATATGTATACAGGGGATGATGGGATGATATGTATACAGGGAGTGATGGTGTGATATGTATACAGGGAGTGAAGGGGTGATATGTATACCGGGAGTGGTAGGGATTATATGTATACAGGGGGTGATGGTGTGATATGTATACAGGGAGTGAAGGGGTGATATGTATACAGGGGATGATGGGATGATATGTATACAGGGGGTAATTGGGTGATATGTATACAGGGGATGATGGGATGATATGTATACAGGGGGTAATTGGGTGATATGTATACAGGGAGTGGTAGGGATTATATGTATACAGGGGGTAATTGGGTGATATGTATACAGGGAGTGATGGTGTGATATGTATACAGGGAGTGGTAGGGATTATATGTATACAGGGGATGATTGGGTGATATGTATACCGGGAGTGGTAGGGATTATATGTATACAGGGGGTAATTGGGTGATATGTATACAGGGGGTGATTGGGTGATATGTATACAGGGGATGATTGGGTGATATGTATACAGGGGATGATGGTGTGATATGTATACAGGGAGTGAAGGGGTGATATGTATACAGGGGATGATGGGGTGATATGTATACAGGGAGTGATGGTGTGATATGTATACAGGGAGTGGTAGGATGATATGTATACAGGGAGTGGTAGGATGATATGTATACAGGGAGTGGTAGGGATTATATGTATACAGGGGATGATGGTGTGATATGTATACAGGGAGTGAAGGGGTGATGTGTATACAGGGAGTGGTAGGATGATATGTATACAGGGGGTAATTGGGTGATATGTATACCGGGAGTGATAGGGATTATATGTATACAGGGAGTGGTAGGGATTATATGTATACAGGGGATGATGGGATGATATGTATACAGGGGGTAATTGGGTGATATGTATACCGGGAGTGGTAGGGATTATATGTATACAGGGGATGATTGGGTGATATGTATACAGGGGATGATTGGGTGATATGTATACCGGGAGTAATTGGGTGATATGTATACAGGGAGTGGTAGGGATTATATGTATACAGGGGGTGATGGTGTGATATGTATACAGGGGGTAATTGGGTGATGTGTTTGAAGGAAGTGATGAAATGTTGATGGTTTGGTGTATTTATAGCTCATCACAAACATTGTTATGTGTTGTTACAGAGTATTGTCATGGCTACTTTACGAACATGTATCACACATGCTTTATGTTTTACCCTGTCTTCTAGTCCTGACCCTCTGTTATCGTACAGCTGGCACTGTCTCACACAAAAATCGAGTTTGTTCCCGGCAAAACGATTCACACGTGCGACCGAGCTATTTTTATAGTGTATGCCTTAGAACTGTTGATATTATGATCCCAAAATATGTCTGTAATTAAAAGCAGATCGACGGCTTCAGCTTCATCTTAAGTAAAAATTATTGAGAGCCATAAATGTCTTTGTAATGAAAATATACTGCATGTGTGTTAGAACCATTCCATAGGAAATCTAACGGGTCTTATTATTTGTTCATTCCACAAATTAAGAAACATTTGTAAAAAATATTTTAGGGGCTGTTATTATTGTAATGTACATGAGTAGTTCAATTGATACTGATTAGTTACAGAGTTTTAGATATTTTGGATACGCTGGTATTTCCTGGTACTGCGCGTGGTCCAAAGAGCTGAATTATAAGGATCTGCCCATAGAACCCCAGGGACAGACTTCTTAACTACTTTCACTCATGTTACATTTACATGTTTAAACGGATGCATTAATTACTCACAGTCCATATTGTTTTAGCCGTAACATTATCCCTGTTGGTTTGATACACAGAAAGTCCATCGAATCCTAGCGTCGTTAAATACTCGTTAATACACTTGATTATAACTTAGTATCCAGACAATGCGACCAATATAACTCGTCCAGTTTAAATGTATATCAACAAGTGTTACATGTGAATAATGTATTTCGTTAAAGTAAAACGACATATGACAGATGATTTTACGAAGCATTTTAATAACGTTGTGTCAGTAGTTCTAATCAATAGTTTCGTGTCAAATTCGGTTCAATAAGATTCCTGACTGAAGTATCACCCCATGCGTTTAAGTTTGGTATGAAGCTATGATAACTAATTGATTTGTCTTTTTTCATCAACAGCTTGGAAAGCCGAGACAACCCATTCGTCCCCGGAAGCGATCTCTGCAAAGAAGCTGAGGAGATTTTACAGAAAGCAACGATAATACGTGATAGGTTCATCTTAAGGGATGAGGCAGTTGATACACCGGATGGGGAAGTGACGTCAGAGACACAATCGCAACCTAACTCTCCAGGAAATGGAAAAGACTGTTCTGTAGTGGAGGAAGCACTTTCCCCACAAACTTCAGCCCCTGTGAACACTGCTCCAAAAGCTAGACAGAATGGTAAAATAGACGATTCAGTGTCGCCGACAACTGTTAAAGTGGAGGTGGGTGGGGGTCAGTCAGATGGTCTCACCGTCGTTGGAGATAGCAAAGACAAAAAGAAACAAAAGAAGTGCTGCAACATCATGTAGCATCGCCTGGACACGCCATTATACTGGATACATCCATTATCATTCATATTATCCGTTTGCTTGTGCCCATGTATTCATCTCCATACACCATATACAGAGTGTCTATTGTGGAGGCTTTCGACATGCTAGCAGTTTGAAATGAAGCAAACCTTCCAAGTGGGATAAAGAGACAGGAGGACGTGTTCAGCGTTTTCCTTGTGTCGACATTGTTAGTGTTTTTCCTTGTGTCGACATTCGGTGTATAAATTCCTAGTTTTACTTCAAACATATCTTATTTATTCAATGTCACCTTTGACGTCATCAACGTCGATTACAAGTGATATCATGTTCGTTTTCGCTTCACACCGTCTATCAAACCTGCAGTCATAGCCAACTGTGTTCATCATCGTATACACGTCACGTTCTGTTACAAAATCTTATTTTCCCTTTGATGCAGAAAACCAAAAGATATATATATCAGGATGTAATTATTGAAACGCGTACAGGTCTCCCTTTGGCTGTCCACGGCTACGTTACCCATTGGCTGCAGTGTTACATATACCAAATACGAGTTTGAATTTTGAAGTGCATTTTTTCTTGTGAAAACAGGAGTAAGATAACTTCAGTTTGAGTTTCAATATATGTAGAATTGATGAAGGATTACGTTTGAGCCATTGGAAATTTTAAGTAGGTGTATCTGGATATTGGAGTCTATCTCGGGTGATGGAGGTGTGTGCATGTCAAGGATCAGACATATTGCCTCATTAAAAGGCGTCTGCCATGTTGGATAGCCTTCTGCGACAGATTGAAAGTTTCGATTTTGTAATTGCCGCAGGATAATCCAATTTTACTTCAAATTGATGAATGCCGACGAAAGAAGAAATATTTCGTGAAAGGAATGTGAAATGAATTTAAGTCCTGCTTGTGGGAAATGTAAACAGAAAGAGACTGGTTCAACGTCAGTGAATTGATATTTCGTCAGTTGGTGTGAGATTTGGGAGAAGTGAGGTTATGGAGACGTACGTCGAAGCTGTAGGGTGCTGTGAATTTTTTTTACCCTCTACCAAACAGAAGTTGAACAATGATCCTCCATTTTCGATTTTGTTCGGGTTCGTAGTCAATGTCAAGGAAGATTTCGTGTTAGGAAATATTTCTTAATTTCGTTTTTGTTTTAATTTATAGCGCATCGTTAACTGATTTCGCTGAATATGCTATATATAAGTGATATTGTACAGTCCCAGACAAGTCTTATGTATTAATTTGTTGATTTTTCCCCTCGTCGACAGTTATACTGTTTGCTTCTGTCTTGTCGTTCGCAATCCGTTATTTTATCAAGTAGCAATTATGAGACATTGAACTGTTGACCCGATGACGTCGTCTTAAAAGAAATATGCCACACTTTCAAAAAACTCAAAATCAAACCAGAAGAAAGATATATATATATATAGGGAGAGGCGAAGATAATTTACGTTAAATTAAATAATATATTTTTTGCATTAGTGATATGTTTTGTTCTCGTGACGTTTTGTTCCATGTTTCCACACCGAAACCAGCATGGAATAAAATGATAAACACATGTTCACAGCTGTTTTTTCTCTATTCATTGTGTTAATGTCCATTTTATTTTGTTTTCGTTTGGTGTGACGTTGCAACATACTTTCCCAAGGGTAGCCATCTTACCTTATGGTTTAACTACAACAATCGATGTACATAAATGGAATTGTCTCGCAGATGAAAGCACGTGGAATACCATGTTCAGTTGTATCTGACTCACCCCATCCCTCCACGTTTCAGCTTCAATATGCAATATCGATTAGGGTCATAGGTTCTGGGATTGGTTGTCCCCATTTCAACTTATTTTTAAACAAGGAACATTGACAGGCTTATCAACTTTGACAAGGTGCGGTTGCAGCCTTTAAATAAGGAGGACTGACAGGCCAATCACCTTTGACAAGGTGCGGTTGCAGCCTTTAAATAAGGAGGATTGACAGGCCTATCACCTTTGACAAAGTGCGGTTACAGCCTTTAAATAAGGAAGATTGACAGGCCTGTCAACTTGACGAGGTGCGGTTGCAGCCTTTAAATACAAAATGATGAGATTTTTTATGATCTAGTCTAAGAGCATTCCATTTCACCCAAGACCAAGTTTCGTGATAACATCACAATTTATCCCCGTTCATCGGTCGTGCTTCCAGTAAACAGCTTTTTAAAACCTCCTTTGCCAGTTTTGGTGATTTTTATTCTTTTTGAATCATGGATGAATGAACTGAAGGTTCTAAAGTTCTTATCTCCCATTTCCCAACGAGAAGAGGTCACGTTGTTTATACAGGAAAATAACGATCATCGTTTGTTACGTGTCATTTAGATTGGAAATAATTTAAACATTGTATGAATTATCGGCATGGGCATTGTCATCTTTCATTGAAAGTTTGACGTTTGTACAGTATGACCTTGATTGACCTCCATGAGTGGAGGGGTCGGGGTATGGGATGTGGGAATGGGGAGGAGAAGTGGCAGGGGGGATAACCTGTACTCGTAATTCAGGGTTTTTTTTTTTTTAAGAAAAGTGTCCAATGAAACAACTAAGAAATCAATTGATGGAAGAATGGACAGAGTGAAAACAGGAGGATACAACGTTCCCAAGTGTTGTAATAGAGACAGCAAATTCTCTTTGGTCACAAGGAGGTATTAATCAGATCCTATTCTAGAACTCCCTATGGAAACATCCTCATTGAGACAAAAATGTCGTCCATGTTCCCTTTCTATGGTGAAAAGTCACCACAAACCTTTAGGGATTTATCTCATTTTCCAATGCTCCGAACAACACACACGTTATCAACTCCAATCGTACACAGTGTGTGTTTTACACGACAATGCGAGACATTTTAATTACTTTAACGGGAGAGTGGCTGATTATTGTCAAAGTAAAGCGCTGGTGAACAAATATAGAACTTGAGATATTCCCTTTAGTAAGGTTACGTCATAAATGTACAAGGCTGTTCTATATCAAATTTCCATATATAAGAAGCCAACAAAGACAGGCATGACATTGGCAATGAAAAGCAAACGTATACATCGTTGATGGTTCCTTTTTATCAACTTACGTTTTCCCTCACGAGAACGATATTTCTTTTGTTTGCTATTTGCATGAGTATAGTAAAGTGAAGATATAAAAATTGTATTTTCATTCATTGTTCGATTGACCAATATTAACCGGTATACGTATTATCATGCCATGACTATTTTTATATACATGTTGCAGTTTTGAATATTAACCATATCCGATTCTTCTTCATGTTATTGATAAAGACGTTCCCAGGTCAAAGGTTAAAAGCCCGACGCTCGTAACAATCAGCCATTTATTAGAATTGATTTGCAATACGCGCTGCAAAATTGCCAGACACAATTGCACAACATCACATGTAAATAGTGAATTATCCTCAAGCTGTGTTTACAACAGTAACAATATCACAATGACCGTTATATATATATAGCTGGCCAAGGAACTCGTCACTATTTCATTTTGTCCTGTTTTATTGGAAACATTTGTCATATGAAGACATTCGACCTGATGAAGCGGTCAAGCTGTTTCTTTGGTCAACTGATATCACGATCGTTTGTTCGGACGAATAAGGTCTTGCAGTAATTTATATACAGTTTGTTACACTTAAAACCATCACGTAGTCCCTATCTGTCCTGAACAGGACGGCCTAGTCCATCGATCTAGGAGATAGAATATCTAGTTCTGGCTCCAGACATATTTGAAATACTGACAAGACAATTCACCACCAATCCCGGTGAATTGAAATGGCATATTGACTGTATAGATATTTCTATTCCCTGTCGGTCGAGAATTTCCTGTTAATTTGATTGTATGCCAAAGAGGTTCTGATAAAGCAAACCCAGAGCTGTTGTTGCCGATGGCGTACAATGGTATCGCTTCAACTCGGAATTACCCCCAACGCCCTTTGTTGACACTGCTTTTGGAATGAATGTAAACTGTGTCGTCTACAGTTGCGAGAGTAGAACTGATGTCTCTAATTTACTACTCCCATGGAGTGTGATATAGACAAGCAGGGCAAAATATTTCACCAAAATGGCCGCATTCATTTCCATCACACATCACGAATTTACTTACTGCAGTATATGAAATCATTTCTGTCATGAAACCCTGTAGGATTTAACAACCTTGGCAACAGGTATCTACACATGTACTGAAATCGATGAAATGTGCCGAGACTGTGAGGTCATTATTTAAATCAACCATTACAATTGTATATCATTTTCCAGAGACAATTCGGAACATTTTTTTGAAAATAAAACTACCATTAGTTTAGCACTAAATAGATTTTATTAAGGTTACTAAGACTGAAGCTACGAACAGCAAGTGTAGGTTCCTATGTATCGATGACTACAGTTTAGTCCACAAACCGATGGCTAACCAAAGGAATCGAGACGACTATAAGTAATCGATGTTTACAATAAATCTGTGCTGAACGTTTCCTCAACTTTCCGCACTAGGACACGGCCCAGAATCGTTCAAATTGACATGAAATTACCAAGAAAATAATCGTTCAAAACCTAACATTACGGAACTGTAGGGCTTATCTGGACAAACGAGATCACGGAGTATTATCGAACAAATGAGAACTCGTATGTCTGTCTCGTGCAGGCTTTGCCCGTGTGGGCGCAACAATGAGTTTGGATTTTACGTGGTAATTACTTAGGGAAACTTGGCACTCTGTGCACGTGTTGGTCAATCTCGAACTCTCATTGACCGGTCAACTATCGAGAACCGGCGATCGACCTCTTCTAATTCTCTAGACACAACCAGAAGTTACAGCCATATTTAACACGTAACCACAATGACTAATGGATACATAAAAGACTGCTGTGAAAATACAATATAATTCAAACATAAACGCTGGAAGATTCCACGAAATAAACACACCAAATAACCGTTAGACTGTTTACAAATTATCATTGATTGTTTTACAAATAGCACGTGGAATGTTCTATCTTAAACATGTGGTTGTTTTATTACTAGATCCTAAGTACGAGGATTGTTCATAAAATAATCTGCTATTCTTATTCTTTTAGTAGGAATAGAAATTATTCTATAAATAAGAACAGAGACAGTTCTGCAAATAAGTGAAAAATATCATACAAAAATGTATACAAATAAGTACAGTGATTCCTCTACATATAAGTACAGTGATTCCTCTACATATAAGTACAGTGATTCCTCTACATATAATACAGTGATTCCTCTACATATAATACAGTGATTCCTCTACATATAATACAGTGATTCCTCTACATATAAGTACGGTGATTCCTCTACATATAAGTACGGTGATTCCTCTACATATAAGTACGGTGATTCCTCTACATATAATACAGTGATTCCTCTACATATAATACAGTGATTCCTCTACATATAAGTACAGTGATTCCTCTACATATAAGTACTACATATAAGGACAGTGATTCCTCTACATATAATACAGTGATTCCTCTACATATAATACAGTGATTCCTCTACATATAAGTACGGTGTACAGTGATTCTACATATATAATACAGTGATTCCTCTACATATAATACAGTGATTCCTCTACATATAATACAGTGATTCCTCTACATATAATACAGTGATTCCTCTACATATAAGTACAGTGATTCCTCTACATATAAGTACAGTGATTCCTCTACATATAATACAGTGATTCCTCTACATATAAGTACAGTGATTCCTCTACATATAATACAGTGATTCCTCTACATATAATACAGTGATTCCTCTACATATAAGTACAGTGATTCCTCTACATATAAGTACAGTGATTCCTCTACATATAAGGACAGTGATTCCTCTACATATAAGTACAGTGATTCCTCTACATATAAGTACAGTGATTCCTCTACATATAAGTACAGTGATTCCTCTACATATACGTACAGTGATTCCTCTACATATAAGTACAGTGATTCCTCTACATATAATACAGTGATTCCTCTACATATAAGTACAGTGATTCCTCTACATATAAGTACAGTGATTCCTCTACATATAATACAGTGATTCCTCTACATATAATACAGTGATTCCTCTACATATAATACAGTGATTCCTCTACATATAATACAGTGATTCCTCTACATATAAGGACAGTGATTCCTCTACATATAATACAGTGATTCCTCTACATATAATACAGTGATTCCTCTACATATAATACTGTGATTCCTCTACATAGAAGTACTACATATAAGGACAGTGATTCCTCTACATATAATACAGTGATTCCTCTACATATAAATACAGTGATTCCTCTACATATAAGTACAGTGATTCCTCTACATATAATACAGTGATTCCTCTACATATAAGTGATTCCTCTACATATAAGGACAGTGATTCCTCTACATATAATACAGTGATTCCTCTACATATAAGTACAGTGATTCCTCTACATATAAGTACAGTGATTCCTCTACATATAATACAGTGATTCCTCTACATATAAGGACAGTGATTCCTCTACATATAATACAGTGATTCCTCTACATATAATACAG